CTGGTTTCTCGTCGATGCCTTCTTCCGGATCTCGATGTAATTGACGCGCTTCGGGCAGGCCTTGCTTGTAGCTTTGTGAGCAGCATCAAAGTTGTTGAGTTCTTCTCAAGGTGAACCAGGTATAGCTGGTCGCGGTACTTGGTGGCCTTGTTGTAGCGGGCCATCTTGTGAATTTGGACCGGTCACATTAGTCACCAGCTCATCCAAGAGGACGCCTGTGTTCATGTCGTATAGTCCGCGCAGGACCACCTTGAACGGCATAACAGCCTCGATGTCGTGGGAGAAGTATTCCACCTGTCATTGGTACAGTATGGTCTTTACCGCCTTGTAATATTTCAATGCCGGAACCATCAGTTTGTATCCTTCCGTGCACAGCTGGATGGTGCACCGGACGCCCTGCGTGATGAAGAAGTTTATTTTACCGCAGTCCGGGAGGGAAGGCCTTCACGTAAAAGGGCGGCATTCTGTCCTTCTTTGGCGGTCCTGTTGTTTCCGTCACCGGTTCTGCACCGTCCTTCAGAACGGAGAACCGATTGTTGTCGAGTAGCTTCTTCGCAGCTGTCGCAATGTCACTGTTGTCTTCAGGCCTAGACCGTTTCCCGGGATTGCCGGCACTCGCGCCACCGCGCGATTTTTTACCCTTGGCTGGGTTAGCGAGAGTGTCACTATTCAACGCGAGAAAAAACGGAACAACGCAATCAAACCAACGAAGAGAGCGAGAGTAAAAACGTCGACTGTACTGCTCAGCAGTCTGGCAGCGAATGAATGAGCGGAGCAAGTTTTTTTTAGTTTAAATGATCTTTATTTTAGTTTAACTTGGACGATTACCATATAAATTTTTACTAAGTGATTTAATGATTTCTTCATCTTTAGGTATGGGCAAAATTCAAAATTTGTTTTACAGAATTAGTCCTAGACTTAGTACATGGTCGACCACCTTGGTGGGATTGGTTTGTTTTGTTTTTAGAATTTGAAGAGAAACTACTTAATACTACTATTTACAGCTTAAAACTAACCTACTCTACTATATACACTTAACCTACTATGTACAAATTGCTTATTAAAGCATGTTCAGAAAGATTGCATTTTTGAATAAATTTAGTTGTCATATCATCAATTTTGGAATCTACTTTGGGAATTTCTGCCTCTTGATGGAGGTCTGCTATTCTTGTGTCGAATGGACGATCTAGGATCATCCTCAACACTCTATTCTGTGCAACCTGGATTTTGTTCCTGTGGGTCTGAGCGCACGATTCCCACACCGGGGCGGCATAGAAGATCGCGGGGGCTATGATCTGTTTGTAAACAGCCAGTTTGTTTTGCCTTGAGAGGCGGGATCTGCGGCAAATGAGCGGATACAAACACCTAACCAAGGCGGAGCACTTAACTAGGGTTTTCTCTATGTGCGAGCGGAACAGGAGCTTCTCATCGAACAACATCCCGAGATAAGTAACATCAGTGGACCACTCGACCCTTGTACCATCCATTATTACGGTACAGGAGGGAGACGGTTTAAGTTTTAATGATTGTCTGTGAAGGAACATGATCGCTTGGGTTTTCGAGGCGTTGATTTTGATTTTCCACGTGGTGGCATAATCAGTAAAGGTGTCAAGGCATCGTTGGAGCTTGTTCGTAATTTCACGAGGCATCCTACCCTTGACGGCTATCGCGGTGTCATCTGCAAACAGAAAGAACACGCAACCGTCTCCTAGAGGAGGGATGTCCGACGTGTAGATGCTGTAAAGCAGTGGTCCCAGCAGACTCCCTTGCGGAACACCTGCTGGGATCGGAAATTGTCCCGAAAGGGAACTATTCAACGACACCCTGAACGACCTTTGCTGGAGATAGTTACGGGTGATTTTCACAAGGTATGGTGGAAAGTTAGAGTTACAAAGCTTGTATATAAGTCCGTCGTGCCAGACATTGTCAAACGCCTTTTCGACGTCTAACAAGGCCATGGCTGTGGACTTGGATACAGCTTTGTTACTTCGGATGTTATTCATCACCCGCACTAGCTGATGATTGGTGGAATGCCCCTTGCGGAACCCGAACTGTTCCGGAAGAAGAATGTCATGTTCCTCCACAAACTTGTTTAGTCGGCTGAGGATCAATTTTTCGAACAGCTTGCTCAGCGCTGAGAGCAGGCTAATCGGTCTGTAGCTTGACGGTAGTGAAGGGTCTTTCCCAGGTTTGCGGATCGGGATGATTTTTGCCACCTTCCAGATGCTTGGAAAGTAGTGCAGCTCCAAGCATCTGTTGAAGGTGGCAGCTAGCAGCGAGTACACCCTCGGGCTGAGATTTTTCAACGCTAGGTTGAATATTCCGTCAAACCCGGGAGCCTTCATGTTCTTACTGTATTTCAGCGCTGAGCAAATTTGTTCCTCTGTAATCCGTTCTTCTGGAGGGACGGCACAAGGGGAGGCATCTAACGTCAGGACGCACTGCGCAACCTGGTTCTCGAGTGGACTTGGGATTTTAGAGCCAAGCAAATGCGACTGGGCAATGTGCTCCCCAATCGCATTGGCCTTCTCTTCGTTGGTGATAAGCCGTTCGTCTTTGACTCTAAGTGGTGGAATGGGCTTGGGGTGAGACTTCAGCACCTTGGCAACCTTCCAGAATGGTCTGGAACGGTCGTCCAGGTTCTGAACGAGCCGCCCGAAACTCTCGTTCCGGATTGAGACCATTCTGGAAGCGATCTGCCGATTCAGATCGACCATTTCGTATTTACGCTGCAGATCCCCAGTCCGCTGAAACTGGCGTCTACGAACATTTCTGAGCCGAATCAAGAGTTTGGTGTGGGAATCAATTGCTTGAAACTTACCCCTCACAGGAACTCGTCGAACGCACTCTTCGTCAGCCACGGATATGGCTTGATGGAGACCCTCCAGGGCCCGGTCGATGTCCTCCACTGTGTCGAGCGGTGGGTTGTCGTCGATGTGGCGGTCGACCACGATGAGCGGAGCAACGGCAACAGAGCTCTTTTATAGTTTTACAATTTCAAGCAAAACGATGCGCAACCAAATGGTACTCGATTATGACGACTTGGTTTGGGGAAAACGTTTATTTAATTGAAACAGTGATAAAATTATCACTTTGAATTTGAACATTTTCAGCGATTTTTTTGAGGAAATTGGAAAAGCATTTATTGTAGCAAATTGTGAGAGCTATTTCCTATCGATTGGTGCATTTGGATTTTAATTTCATCTATAAATTACAAAGCTATAAGCATTCAAAACCTTACACCTTTTCATGACGGTCGCAATTTTAGATTTTCGATTTATCCCCAGTACCTTCCCGTAAGACGTAGTCTACGTCAAAAATTCGAACATATTGCATGGAAAAACATTGTTTTCGAGTGGATTGCGTTGATCGCCAAGTTCTGGCCAGTGTTTCGAAAATCATTTTCAAATCTCATCTATTGAGCACTCCTGAGCGAATTTGCAAACAAATCTCACGTTTCAAATTCTCATGCAGTTTCACGGACTCACATTCACAACGCAAAACATTCAGTCAATCTCAAAACTCATCAAATCCGGTAAAACGTCGACGGTAAATCCGGTAAACGAAAAAGGATTGTCGAAAGTTCCAATTTATATTTCATATACGTGCTAAAATTATAGAATTGATTTCAAATCATAGGGGGTCCCGCAATAAAAATAGACCGATACTCCAAGGGTGGTTAAGACGGTTCTGCTCCTGTAGTAATTCACATACAAATTTCAAATCATTAATTTTTACGATTTTTTGCACAGATTCATTTGGATTAGGAATCAAACTGGGAGGTGGGCTAGAAGAAATCTAACACTTATTCTGAAACCAAGCGCCCTAATGTAAATGGGTTCAACATATTATATACAAGTATAATGTTTATATTTAAGATATTAACACACAAGCACACTAACAAAAGAAATGCTGGAGAAATGACACCAACACTGACAGAGCAGATTCTGAGGTGACAACGTATCTGCCATGGATTCCAAAATTAATTAAATGGAATTAATTGGAAGATAACCTTTTTTTGATGTTTTAAAGAGTGATAATAGCTTCGCACACGAAATCTTTATAGTTTCTGAGATTTGTGCCATAAAGGATTCAAAGTGGAAAGGCAAAATAACCAAAATAGCGGCCATTTGTGACTTCTATCAGCTTTCACATTAGATTTTAAATAAAACAGCAACGCCACAACAAGGAAGTTACGGAAACCGAAACAGTGGTTGTTCAATTTGTAGAAGAATATCCCTCAATTTTGATATAACATTAAGTTGTCAAGCCAAAACCTTCAGCGTCGATCCGAATAGGGCCAGTTATGGAATTTAAATCGAACATCAGCGATTTAAGCAACATTCGAACATCGTCGGTACTACCCACCATACATATTGAATGCAGCACCACAAGGCACGTCCATGTCCCTGTGAATTATTGATATCAACAGTAGCAGCACATGGGAAACGGTTTTCGCTCGTATGGATTCTATTCTTCCGGTTTCCAGTCGGTCGCGTCCACCCAGACATACCATACATGCCGGGGCGATGAAATTTTAAACACAGTGCGACAGTTCCGTCCGGACTTCCCGGCATCACCATCATCGATTTCGGAATCTATTGAAGCGTGGTGGATGTGTTTTTCCGATGAATTGTTGTTCTTTTTCTCTCCACGGGAGTGTTGAACTTGGCTCAATATAATCGACAGAACAAGCGCCAAATCGCTGTTGCTATTCTGATTTGTTGCGGTTTGAAAAGTGAAATAGATATGAAGCGCATTTCAATTATTCTATAAATTTGAGGTTATTTTAGAAAATTATACATAGATTTCCAAATCAATATTTTCTGTCAGATATGGAATATGATTCGATCAACAATCCATTAAAAACGTTCAACTGAAAAGCTGCATTCAAGCATATAACATTCACTCCGGTGCTCTCGCAATTCCCAATAAACCCCCAGACAATAATAGCCTGTGGCACTTTATGACAATTTCTCGCATTTTTTCTCCTCTTTCAGATTATATCAAGTTCGATGTTCACTGAGAGTTTCACCCCGGCTGCCGGTACAGGTGGAGACCTGTCTGCCGGATGCAACGACCACGGGAGTGCCTTCATCTGCGAGTACGACATCGGCTCCTACTCCTGGCAGTGGTGGACCTGGTGGTGGGTCGGCCATCGGGTCCAATAGCAGCGGCAACGGCAGCAACAACGCACCTGGATCGGCATCCAGTAGCGCCAACACACCCAATTCCACTAATTCCTCGAATGCTTGCAATGCAGGAACGACCAGCAGTAGTGGCACCGGTAGCAGCAACGCCGGAGGCCTCAGTGGTTCCCCAACCACCGCTGGCACGACAGGCTCCAACGCCACCATCATCGACGATTGTGGCGCCTCACGAGTGTTCCAGATTCTCTATCGCAACGAAGAAGTGTCGCTGCGTGACGTTATTATGTTCCGAGCACATTTACTAGGTAATTTTATGCGTTTTCATAAAATCGTCGTACATCTTCACACCGACTGATGGTGATGGCGGTGCTGTCCATGCCATGTCGGGTGAATGCAACAGTAGAGAATCGTGTATGGCACAGGGAATGGTTCCGAAATTCCAATAGTAATAATGTTCGATTTACGATCCACTAACATGACACCAATAAATCCTGGTTCCCTTTAAGCCCACCTAGATCTATATCTTCCGCATCTCGACTCATTTTACCACCCTGAAAGGCTAGACTGCGATGCCGATATTTTCGGGAATGGCGTATTCCTGTGTTGAATACAATTAAACTCGCCTTAATGCGGAAGTAGTGGAAAGCAATGAGACTGTTCAAAGTAAGCGGTCTGGCTAGCCGCGATTTTGAATATATGATTTTGTTTTGCAATTTTTTCCAGAAAGTCCAGAGTCCAGAAATGGATGTCTGACGCCATAATGAAATCCAAGATGGTGGCTTCCGAATATAGAAAAACTGATAAATACTGTCAAACACGCTTAAATATGGGTATTCGGGGTGACGTTAAGTATCAATTTACTTTGATGCTTTTTGGAAAATTTCAAAATCAGTTTTTTCCGACGCATTATTTCAGATTGCGGAAAGCTCGCACTATTCGATACCTTTTGATATTTTACACAAAATGACGCGAGCTTTTTGCAATCTAAAATAATGCGTCAAAAAAAACTGCCTTTGAATTTTTAAAAAATGCATCAAAGTAATCCATGTCTGACGCCATCTTTAATTCAAGATGGTGCATTTCGGATACAGACAATCTGGGAAATACTGTCATACTGTCTTCAGTATGGGTATTTCCGGAATCGGGGTGACGTATAAACCTTTCATTCTGGGGTTGTTGCTTACAATTTTTATAAGTGGATGCCTAGATTTCCAAAAATTCTTGATTTTCGAATCATGTTCCATCCATATCTCCGGAATCGAATAACTGATTCTAAAGGTGCTGAAAAGTGTTCTATGGAAACGTGGTTCCTTTCATTTGGCGGATGTTGTGACCGATTCGGCTCAGTGATAGTTGAGACATTTTTTAGATTTCAAGATGGCGTCATATTGCCGGTTCTTATACGTCACTCCAATTCCAAAAATACCCATATTAGAATGGATTTCAAGATGGTGTCAGGCATCGATTTCCAGTCTCTATACTCAACCTCGATTCCGAAAATACTAATATTGAAGGGTATTTGACAGTATTTCCCACTTTAACTAATCATGATGGAGTTAACAATTTTCATAGTTGGAGATGCTTAATGTCAAATATAAGACTTAAAGCGGTCATTTTATCGATAGATGTGGAGATAAAAGTATCGAGTTGATAGTTCCGTTAGAGTAAAAATTGTATATAGAGCGTAGAAACCGAGCAAAGGTCTATTTTTAGGAAGGCACGAATCGAGTTGATCATCTCTTTTACCAAACTCCCCAGTTGGGGAAGGATGGTGAGGGGTATCTCCATGGAGTACAAACATGATTAGATAAGGTACGAAAGGTAGTTTTGATGTCAAAGCTAAAATATAGTAAATATTAAATTGATTTCTTAACTCCTTTGGTTTGTTTTTTCCGTCGATCTTGTTTTCCGTGCTGAGCACCAATGCTACCGACGTGCCAGGAAGGCAGCTCCCACACCTGGACCCTACCTATCGACCCATCAACTCATGAACCGGGGACCAACGGCTTTACTTCCCATCCGAAGGAAGGCGTGATCAGAGATGTTATGCCTCAGAACATGATGATAATAATTAATATCACTCACCTCAGATGCGTTACAAACAATGTACCTCTTTGTTTCAAAGGAATATAGTCAAATATCCTACCTTGTCCATGAAGACCTTTCTCCAGCATCCCAATCAGTAGATAAAGCAATGTTGTCTCTAGTCGTTCTGATCCTGTCTCTGTAACACCGATTTCTTTCACCATCAGTTTTCAGCTGCTTCTTCTGAGGTTTGTCCCCTTGCAATTCCTTTGCACGCTTACGTGATCCATGCTTGTGTAGTAGATAGAGTTAGTGTTGAATAAATAATGAGTAGAATCAAGTGAGCGTGAAGCGTGATAGTTCGCATGTAAACAGAATCTCATTGGTTAGAGAATTTTGATAGGTTAGCAGGTATAAATATGAAGTACCTAAGCTCGTTGAAGTCATTCTTGTAACGAATTTTGGAGGTGACGGACCACCAGCAGTAGCAGAAACAGCAGCAGCAGCAGCAGCAGCAGCAATAGAAGCAGCCGCACCCGTGGGAGCTGCATCGCTAATTCGTGTTGCCGTGGCCGAGGCTGGAAACCTCGGTCCGGTCACGACAATGGCGCAGTCGGTACGATAGTGTAAGTATAGTGGAATGTCTAAAGAACTGAAGAATTATTTTGAAAAAATTGCCATGAACTGATGGATGGTATACAGAATGACCATGACCTGATGGATGGTAGATAGAAAGACCATGACCAGATGGATGGTAGATAGAATTACCATGACCTGATGGATGGTAGATAGAATTACCATGACCTGATGGATGGTAGAAAGAATTACCATGACCTGATGGATGATAGAAAGAATTACCATGACCTGATGGATGGTAGGTAGAATTACCATGACCTGATGGATGGTAGGTAGAATTACCATGACCTGATGGATGGTAGGTAGAATTACCATGACCTGATGGATGGTACAAAGAATTACCATGACCTGATGGATGGTAGAAAGAATTACCATGACCTGATGGATGGTAGATAGAATTACCATGACCTGATGGATGGTACAAAGAATTACCATGACCTGATGGATGGTAGATAGAATTACCATGACCTCATGGATGGTAGATAGAATTACCATGACCTGATGGATGGTAGAAAGAATTACCATGACCTGATGGATGGTAGAAAGAATGACCATGACCTGGTAATTCTGGGACAGATGGTAGATAAGAATTTCCATTACGTGATGGATGGACTAAAGAAATTTAGAAATAGTTAGAATTGCCATGACTTGATGGATGGACTGAGGACATTTTTAAATAGTTAGAATTGGCATGACCTGATGGATGAAATATCTCTGAGATGGTAGATGAAAGTCCCCCGAGAGGGTGGATAAAATTCCCCCAAATGGGTGGATATAATGCCCCCTTCCTCAATTAAGGAGAGTAGAAGAGGGGAAGAATGTAGTAGATAGAGTTAGTGTTGAATAAATAATGAGTAGAATCAAGTGAGCGTGAAGCGTGATAGTTCGCATGTAAACAGAATCTCATTGGTTAGAGAATTTTGATAGGTTAGCAGTTATAAATATGAAGTACCTAAGCTCGTTGAAGTCATTCTTGTAACGAATTTTGGAGGTGACGGACCACCAGCAGCAGCAGAAACAGCAGCAGCAGCAGCAGCAATAGAAGCAGCCGCACCCGTGGGAGCTGCATCGCTAATTCGTGTTGCCGTGGCCGAGGCTGGAAACCTCGGTCCGGTCACGACTTAATTCGCACTATAAGTGTAGAAATTTGAACTGCCCATTAATTTGCTATTCGAAAATGAAATCTGTATTAGGGAAAACACATCAATCACTGAATCTGAGCATATCGGACGGTACCTACGTTAATGCTTTTTGATGCAAATTGTAAGCCCCTCATATTAAAAGAATTTGACAAGTATTTTTTGACGTAGTGCTACGTCTGTGATTTCTATATGGGGGTATACTTTGAGAAAACCGAAAATAGAACATGTAACAAAATTATGAAAGATTTTTTACATTAATAACTCAGCTGTCCCTAGACCAATTTCAATAATTTTATCACCAATCGATCAGATATTTTTCTACACATCTGTTAAATTGAATACTTTTTTTAAAATGTGACTTTTGACAATTGCATGAATGTGCAACTGTTGCTTTGATAAATAAAATTATCACTGATTGCCTGCGAAAAGCGATTTCCCTAACAGCATCATACTAAAGAGTATAAACAGAGAGAGCCCCGCTCAAATTCCTATTCTTACACAAAACACAAGCTCCTGCTGCCGTTAACAAATAAGATTTATTATATAAGTCCACGTAGTTCGACGTCACCATTGCATACAACCCCATAGGGCTGTCCATTGTAGTTTTTTTGTTTGGCTAATCCTCTTAATAGGAGGGGCTCAAAGTTTGCATCAAAAGACTCAAAGGTAGGTACCGTCTGGCATGCTCAGTACACGGATGTTTTTTTTTTTTCATCACGAAAACGCATCGTTTTCTGATGAAAAAAAAAAACCCATTTTCATGCACAAAACGCATGGATTTTTTGGTTTATCCAATATATAATAAAAAAAAAACGCAAATTAATTGCAATCTAATTTTCCAATCGCGAGATTACGATATAAATTCGTGATTTTTTTTGCTTTCTTGCGTTCTTTCCTTAATTTGAAGTGTTTTAGGTTAATTGACAAGGTCATGTAGTACTCGGTCATTGCGAGAATGTTTATACTGTTACGCATTTGACCACAAACTTTTGGTTGCTGAGTACATTATCATAGAGCTTTGGGGGTAATGTACCCGGCAACAAGGCGAGCGACCGTTCCTTGAAAATTAACTCCTAAACATCAATAATTTATGGCGGGTTGAGTAATGCTGAGCTATGAGGGTGTTCAACACAGATGAGGCTGGTGAGCTGTATGTTCTTTGGAACGAGATTGAATCGCTTGGCATAGATGGCCCACAGCGACTCACGAAGAGCTACTGAATCCGATCAGTAGCGGTGTGGCTTCTTCCTCGTTCTTCGGTGAATGGACGCTCATGTGAGCTGCAGCTCGCTGTGTACTGGAGAACAATGTTCAATGACACGCGCCGAAAGCAGTGCAGGATGCAATTCGGTTTTGAAATCTGTGTTTGGTAAAACGCTTTTTGCAGGAAATCGGTAATATTTTTGATCACCATGGCAACAGTTGGATATTTGCGTAATTTTAATAGTGACCTATTGAAAATTGATGGTGCTCATTTTAGCTGATTTGTAGAAAAATTTCCA